TTTCAAGGCCGTTTCTGATTCGGTTTCCTTTTTATCTAGTTTGGGGTCGGCGACATGTTCGAATTCATTGATCGTTAGTTTCGATTTCAGAGAATAAAAATTTATTTTTGTATTATCACTGATTTAATTTTCTTTAATACGGAGTAAACGTTTGTTCTGGCTTTTTAATTAAATACATTTTAAGATTTTAATAACACTTAAGCTACAAAATTAGTAATTTATCCATAAAGCACATTTAATAGATATGCTTTTCTGTAAAATTTATAATTGAATACAAATCAACTTAGAAAAAATTCTTAATATTTAGAATTACTAATTTTTCTGTAAATTATGAAGGTTTACTATCAGTTTTAGGTACTGTATATAACACATTAAAGTATTGTAATCGTATTAAATTTGACCCCCAGGTTTTTTTGCAAATCATGTTTTATGAGAACCTCTGAACACAAAACAGACTAACAATTTTTTCCCATTTTATTTCATTTAATATCTCAGGATAAAGTTCAAAGAATCAAACTTTGGCATTGTAACTTTTATATAAGGGACATTAATGTATTAAATCTTTGTGGTTAAAAGTTGATCGGTTTTCATATTTCATGTGGGATTGGACTTAATGAAAAATTTTATTCCTCATTTAAAATTTTTAAAAATGGATTAAATGTTATATATTTTTTTAGCAATGTTAATATAATCATTTGTAACTTCTGAACATGCATTCTTTATCTGAAAGAATCCTAAAACATTAAATCTTCCAGAAATCTTTGATCTATTGATTTACTAGTAGATTTCTGGAGAGCCACTGTTTATGTAGAATGGACAAAGTATGTTTTTACTACTGAAAGAAAAGTTGTAACTATACTTGACAGTTTTGCAAATGCACTGTTGCATGGATTGATAATTTTTAAATATTGAGGGAATGATTATTACGAACTTGCTGATGGCTTGTTCTGTTTAGTTTTATTTACAAGAAAGTTCTTTTAGAAAGAAGAGAACCAATTTCTTTTTGTCTATAACAATTTCTAGTGTTGTTTATTTGTTGAAACCGTGTCTTCTGTTTCTTCTAATTCAATGTCACGACTTTGTGAATTTACTAAGTGTCGATAAATTCACCAAGTTGTGACATTGAATTATAAATTTCTAGTGTATTTTATTTTAAATATTTATTTTAACTTGCATATTATGAGTCTGGAATATTCAACATAGATCAGTTACATGATATTCAATATCAAATAGGCAAAGTTTTTCTAAAATTGTGTGTACAAAATTCAGACAAACTTACCAATGTGCCAGCATGCCATTAATCCAAGACTCGTTCTCATTTAATACAGGATATTCTGCATTAGTCAAATATAAACATTCTATGTAACCTGATACATTACAGAATTTGGTGTAGCTTTATAGTATAATATCGGGCTATATATCTGTGATGATAACTTTGAATTACTGATTTTGTCTCTAGAGGAAGACATTAGGTGCCATTTTGTATTAAATTTAATAGTTATAATTTAATACAAAGTAGCACCTAATGTGTCCTGTAAGGACAAATTATTCAGAAATTCAAAATTATTGCCAATATATAGCTCGATATTATACTGCATTTGGTGTAGCTTTTGCATTAGTCTTAAGATTAAGCATATTTTCAATATGAAAAGTATTGCTCATCTAAAACAATTAATTTAGGACAATATTTTACACATCATTTGATTGTATAGTATATCCGATGTATATTTAGGCTATAGAAAGGAAGTTTGCCAGCAAAACCATAAATTTTGCATAGTAATTATGCTCACATGAATATTATATTTATTTTGAAAAAAATTCTTGTGAAATATCATAATTTTCTTGGGAAAAAATATTTAATTTGGAAAGTTTGAACTTAAAACAGAATCCTTGGTTTGCCTGGAATTTTTGATATAGTATTCATTGGTATGACCAAACAAAATATCTTCTATGGCATTACTATTTGAAAATTCTAGTCTAAATGTCCAACAAAAAGTGGTAACATTGTTCTAAGCAATTTTAGTAGGAATATCTTGTGTAATAACTTAGAAATATCTACATTCATGAGAAAACCATATGATCATCTTTTAATTTACTTTGATTTAGTGAGTTTGAGGACTTCATTTAGCCATATAGGTAACTGTTAAATGTGTTTCTGAATAATAGGTAGTTTCTCCATTCCATATTTTTACCTTCAGTTTTCTACAATTTATATATGAGATCAGTTAACCTGGTAATATTCATGTAAATTTTTTTCTAATCTTTTGCTGTTTTGTGAAGATTAACACTTGATTCAGAAGACCCTAGCATGGAAAAGGTTTCTAACTTATGTCTTCTGTAGTATTAAACTTATTGAATACAGAAGACTGATATAAATCTGTCAACAGAACATGTTATGAACAGAATCAGTTCTGTTGGCATAAATTTCTCATTGTCTATTTTACAAAAGAAATCTTTGGGTGAGCATGTAGAAATTAAGGTAAATCTTGGATTTGAAGGGTTTTCATATTAGAGTAAATACAGTAGTTTTCAAAATGCAAGCCATTACACTATACTGATTGTCTTAAAGTATATACAGTAGAACCCCTCTAATCCGTCACCTTTGGGACTGGGGGTATGGTTGGAACGCAAAAAAGGTCGGATTATCAGAAAAAAGTAAAATAAACAATCTTCCCCTTTGTCCAGTCTTTGTAGCACTGCTAATTTTTCATTTAATGAAAGAGTAACATGTTTACGTTTCACTCCTGACATGTTGAAAACACACACAAAACTGTACATGTACACACAATGTAAAACATATACTGTAACGAGCACAGAAAAACGCCACGAACAGTGAGTCACCGACGAGTCGGGACAAGTTTCTTGACTCCGACCACGGTCGGATTAACCGGAGTGACGGACTAGCCGAGGGCGGACTAGAGGGGTTCTACTGTACTTATTAGAATCTTACCTTCAAAATTTACTATTGTTAACATTCCTTATCTACTCAGTTCATGAATCATTAAATATGTTCAAATCTAATCTTTGTGATTTATGATAGAATTATTTGTAATATAATTTAAACAATTGTTAAACAATGATTTAAAAAAAAAGCTTATTTTAAAACCATCTAATTTTGTCTTATTTTGATTTTCTTTAAGATATTGTGTGAATGTTTAAGATCAATGTTCAGAATAAATAGCTTTTTATTTTAAAAAAGTACATATTAACCACAATGTGCACTTCTGCATGCAATTTGCATGCTTTTAATCTGAAATTTAACAATTGAATATAATTCTCAAATATAAAGATTAGTTGTCAATATAATAGCAGAAGCATCAACCAGATTAAAAATTAAATTTACATTTATAATATAATTTTTCTAGTATATTCAAAATTTACATGGTGGCCTAAGCACTTTAGCCAAATTATACTGTTGTTCAAAATTAAAAGAATTTGCATTTTGTCAATTTTAACAAAAAGTAATGAATTGAAAATACAAATTATGCACTAAAAATAAGAATGAAATTTTTTAGTTCTGACTTCATAAGCTTACATGTGGGAAGAGCTTTGACAGCAGAGGATATGAAAAGCATGTGTTGCTTTGTCTGCAGTTAGTTTGCTCATACTCCTTCACTGACATTTGTTGTTTTTTCTAGCAAGAGTTGGTTCAATTTCATAGATAAGCTGGTAAAATGAGTACACAAACATTTTGATGATGGAATGAGGTGGAGAATCAATTTAGATTAGAGGTGGGGAAATCACAAGTGCAGGTTGCTACACTGCTCAATGTAATATCCAATGTCATCTGCAATTTGTGGAAACAGTTTAAGGACACCTGATCCATATCAAGAAGGCCTGGACAGTCACCCAAGAGCCATGACAACGAATGAAGATCATTATTTGGCACTTATAGCAAGGCATCACAGGACTGCTACAGCTGCATAGCATCTCATGAGCTGCATGCTGCCACTTGAACCAGAGTCTCAAGAGTTACTGTTTCCCAGAGGCTTCATGAGAGAGGGCTTTTTGCCTGTTTGCATCCCACTCACTTCAGCATATGAGAGCACATTTAGCATGGTGCAGACAATGTCAGCCTTGAACCAGACTTCAGTGGGGGTACAGTTCTTTTCACAGACTAGTTGTGATTCAGCCTGGACATGGATTCTCTATGCATCTTCATCTGGAGAGAACCTGGGATCAGATTCCTTTCCTCCAACATTCAAGAAAGGAACAGCTATGGCAGTGGGTGTTATGGTCTGGGCAGGTATCATGTTTGGATGGCCGCACATCTCTCCATGTGTGTGACAGAGGCTTGCTGAGAGAGATATAGGGATGAGATCTTAGTCCTATGTTACTTTCAGGGGTGCAGTTGGCCCTCTGTTCATTTTTATGTATGACAACATAGGTCTCTCCTGGTCAATGATTATCTTGAAAGTGAGGATATTTGCTGGATGGATTGGCCAGCCAGATCTCCAGACCTAAACCCTATTGAATATGTCTGAGAGACACTTGGGAAGCCAGTTGCAGCTTGCAATTTCTCTCAGAGAACCACCCAGGAGCTGAAAGTGCATTGCTGCATAAATGGGATGTCATGGGGACTCAATTGCCTTGTTTTCAGTGTGATGTTGCAATGTGAGAGGTGACCATACTTTAGTCATTTTGTTTTGATTGTGGATATTCCTGCACTGATGAGCTTAACTGACAATCATGAGTGCATACCATGACTTGTACAGTACACTCTTATCTCTCATAACTGTGTGTACATACCAAATTTCATTAAAATGTGTCCATTAGTTTTTTAGAAATTCGACAAAATGTGCAAATTCTCTTAAAGTACACTGGTGTTCAAAATTATGTAATTAGTCCTATTGCACTCAAAAAATCTGGCAGTTTGTTTGGCATTACTATTATTTGTTAAAATTATTGTACTAGTTTATGCTTTCTCCTGCTTCATGAAGGGTTGGAGAATATATCCTAATTTGCATTGAATTATTTAAAATTATGCTTTTTCATTTCAGCTCACAAATATTGGTATTAATGCTGCAAACATTGGCTTTAATACATTAACAATGGAATCAGATAAATTCATATGTGTTAGAGAAAAAGTTGGCGAATCTGCCCAAGTAGTAATTATTGATATGAGCAATCCTACTAATCCTATCAGAAGACCAATTTCTGCCGATTCTGCTATTATGAATCCAGCTTCTAAAGTTATTGCTTTGAAAGGTTTGTGAGTTGTTGTTGTTGTTCTTTTTGACTTTTATAAAGATTAAAGAAATTTATATTTTTAGCTATGAGAACACTTCAGATCTTTAATATTGAAATGAAGAGCAAAATGAAAGCACATACAATGAATGAAGATGTTGTTTTTTGGAAGTGGATAAACGTTAATACTATTGCCTTGGTCACAGAGACAGCCGTGTTTCATTGGAGTATGGAAGGTATGCAAATTTCTTAATGTTAATTATTATTCCATAATAAGAAAAATCAAATAATTTATTCACAATTGCCAAAATGTGAATTTTGGTTTAAAGCAGGGCTGTGGAGTTGCGTAAAAATCTACTGACTTTGACTTTTCCTTATCATCCAACTCCGACCAGAGGCGGACTTGTTACCGAAAGAGACTTGGAAATTCTGATGTCATCACATGACTTCAGAATAAAAGATTCAATAGAGTTCTAATAAAGATAGAATGTAGAAACTTTTTATTCCAAAGCTAAAAGACTCCTCTAAGTAATATATAAATATGTATTCGATAAATTTTACTTTTCCGGCTGTTATATATAACAGAGGGAAAGTGTAGCACTCGGTCAAAAAATGATCCTCCCAAATTTTTACATTTTTGGGCTCAGGACACCTTGAAATTTTGAGATATGCAAAAGATTCGAGGTTTTTTCTATATGTGCGGATATTGGACTGTGTGTGGGGCATGATTTCGTTCACCCTGTTTGAACTAATAATTTCTTGGTCAGTGGTTAGAATTGGAGTCATGTGGTTTAAGATAGGAGTTAGTTATTAAGTGTCAAAGTGGTTGAACTGAATCATGTCCCCATTTCCATTCTAACATTTTAGGCGAGGACATCTTAATGGGTTTTACTGTACTATTATAAAATGACAAAAAGCTTACTTTGAGGGTAGTGACTAGTTTTATTCTACTTTATTTAAATTTTGTACGCTAATAATGATTGAAATATTTATTAAGAGATGACACATGACCACTTTTATGTCTTCACCCTGTCAACCTTTAATTAAGAACCAAAATTTAATAGTATTAATGCCTCTTTATACGCGAGCTACAGTGCCACATTTAGTTTCTTAAACTTTACCCATTATGAGATATTGTTTAATATCTCAGTACAGAAAATAAAGAATTAAACAAATTAGACGTCAACACACACACGCGCGCGAATTTTTCCCCTTTATTGACTTTTTTGAGGGGGTTTGGGAGGTCTCCAAACGTGTAGATTTGCAAAAAAACTTGGAGGGTCAAATCTGACACGATTCCAATACTTTTCTGCTTTATATACATAAGTTGGTAAGTAAAAAGGAGTCGGAGTCGGCTGATTTTTGACGACTCTGACTCTGTCTAAAACACCAAAACTCCACGACTTTGACTCCACAGCCCTGGTTTAAAGTGACGTAACAAAAGAAAATGAACATGTGGTTAAATAAGTACCATTTACAGTCTGTGGAAAGACTTGATTTGAAATGTCATGCATGAGGTTGCTTCAATTAACCAATTAGACATTCCCTAATGATGGCACTTTTCACTTAATGTCAGGCAATTCATTTTATTTTCTCTTGCTAAGTGGCAGAACGATTTTTTTATGTTAATTTTTTATAGCATGCATTAACTAAAGAATCATGGATTTAACAACTACTATTGTGAATTTCCTTGTATTCCAATACCAGAACGTGAAGTTTTTGTCACACTGTTTTTAATGGCAGTGACATGTTTAACAAATATAGAAGAAACAGGTAGTAACCTGCCACAGCTAAGTGATCAATGGCTGATGCTCATTGGTTAATGTCCAAGTTGATTCTTTCTATAGTGTAATTACTATATTGTTCCATATCAAATTTTACATATATGGGATGTAATCTACAAAAAAGGTACTGGGTACCTTCAGTACTTAGTGACTCACTTTTTTAGCTTTTTTTCATAGCTCCTCTTTTTTACGTTTTTCTGAGGCAAACTTGCTTTTTTTAGCTTTTTTTTTTCACTTTCCATGTAGAATTTTATTTTTGTAAGTGTGTTCAGGAGCAAAATAGCAACCAGCACACTCCATACTTCAATCCTCCAAAATTCAGGCTGCAAGAAACGTATAAATAAATGCAATGAAGCCTTTGGTCCCAAGCAGATAAGACTGACGATTGCCCCTCAGATGTCTTAATGTGAAAATATTAGTGCTGAAAGTGTAGCTAGTGTGAGCAATGTTGTAGACTCAGGTGCCAGTTCAGAACACCAATCATTGCAACAACCAGGGCTTTAACTTTGTAGTGCAAAAGATGGTGCTTACATTGCAGAGCTTATATGGACTATGAAAATGACAGCCAGCAATTATTCATTTTTATCATGTCATGATATAAAGGAGACAATCAATGCCAAGTGTTGCAGACAATCTTCCAAAAGAATTCTCATTGTCACATCAAAAAATAAGATACTTAATCACTGAAGCTTTGGCCCCATGTTTCTTTAATCAAATGGTAGATGCTATATTATGACTATTGTGCATCATTTCTTATGGGACATGCAATGTATAAGACAGAAAATAACTGCAAATACTGATTAGATACTGGTCAGAGGAACAACAGGAAGTTATCTGCAGGCATCTCCAGACCTCATTTATTGGGCATGCAGATGCTGAAACAATTAAATCAAAAATAATACTGGCAATTGAAGATGCATATCTACCTCTTAATAAATTACTGATGACGGATGCAATGGGCCAAACGTAAACAAAAAAAGTATTCTCACATAAATGAGGAAATTGTGACAAATCGCAAAAAAAGGCCTTATTAACATAGGGACTTGCAGCATTCATACAATCCACAATGCCTTTTTGAAAGGCCTGAAAGAGTTGGGCAGAGATAGTGGTGATCTCATCATAGCAACACACAGATTTTTTTGATGGGTGGCTCTCTAGGTGAGATGAATACATAGAAATTCCAGAGAAACTTAATTTGCCATGCAACAAATTTATGAAGTATTCATCAACTAGATGACAGACATTTGGTCCTGCAGAAAAACGACTGCTCGAACAATGGGAAGGACTTGTATTATACTTCCTAAAGCACATTCCTCAAGAATTCCAGCTTATTGTATAGTGTTTCATATAAAATAATCTGTCATTGAAGTGAACCATCAAAGCTGAACTCTATTTGGGAATATCTAGTGCTGAACTATTCAAAGTTTACTGGGCATTTTCAGTGCAATGATCCTTTAACTCTTTGGGTACACAGAAATTTTTAATATTAATGTAATTAAACATAAAAAGTATTTTTAAAATTGAAAAAATGAAAGAAATGCATTAATTTTGAAGAGAAAGCTTCAAAGTTTTAACTTCCATTGTCTCCCCTTTCTGTGAAATCTGACACCGATGAGTCATTGTGTTTACAGCTGGATGACCTTGAGAACAGCTGGTGTTGGATTTCCCGGGACATTCTCAGAAGTCTCAGGAGGAGAAGGGTTTAAAGTAGGATGAATACTAACTGGCCATATATATTTAAATATTTTTCAAAAATTAAGTTTTTTATTGCAATTTCCAACCCCCCCAACTTAATTAAACGTATATATAATAAAATCAATTAAAAAAATTAAAAAACTATTGGAGGTCATTTTTGACATCAGAAACTAACTTTAAATAACTTTACCGAAGTAAAATCCGTGCACTACAACTTTAGAATGATGATTTAAATTTGATTAAAAAAAATCGCATTAAAAAACAATTAAGCATTAATCGTGCAGCATTAAAGGTAGATTAAAATTGTGATAAAATTTTTTCGCACAAGAAAAAATTTTTGAAACAATTTGGAGACTTAATTTTTCAGAGGGTCCAAATGCCCGAGTTTTATGTAACTCTATGGAACTTACCCAAGTTATCTCGGGATAAGGGTAATACATAAACTTCATACCAGAGTAATCAATTCACTATAAAGAAAATTCAGTGTGATGGAGAGAACAAGAGAAGTACAGAAACTGCAGCATGACTTTAACAAAAAATCTTTAATTACAAATTTTTTTAACAAGAAATCAAAAAATGTACCTTGAAATAAATGGCATTTGAAATTTGGCATGTTATATGGGGAGACATTTTGGTAGTTATGTTATTCAGCAAAGGAAATGGAAGAGTAACTGTAGGAACGCTGTACGGGGCACATGAAAACTTAATGCAGGCCCGTTCTGGCTTAATGCAGTCTTACTGGTCAATTTTCTGGAGTATAAACTCAGCCTAACTATTTTCATATTTAATTTTTTCAGTCCAATTAAAAATCAATCTAATATCATATGCAATGTTATTGATACAAAATGTGTGTTTGTGTTTTTTTAATAATGCCTCTTTTAGTCCACTTTAACTATTAGCTGCTGCTTTTTTTTTCAGTGTGAACTCTTTTTTCACCTTTTTCATTGCCATGACGACTTTAAGCCATGTATGTACTGTACCTTGTCAGAAGTGAATTTTGCTATATAACAAAAACATGTTTTTTTAGGTTTAAATGTTAAATGCTTGAAGTAACATTTGGCAACATTTAAGCTAAAATCACTCTTTGGCCTATATATAGAGTAAGATGCACTCAAATATTTTTTCCAATTTAAGATCTATTTACATGTCAATAGCATTAATCTGTCAGTGATGCCTACATACAGTACAGATATGTGCAGTTTGCCATCTCAAATATTACTGGTGTGACACTGACCAAAATACTGGAATAGAATTAGCAACATAATTTTGGATGAAGAGGAAATGCATCATAAAAAAGTGGAAGTTGATAAAAATGATGCATAAAGTTTTTACCTTTTTTTGTAAAAAATTTCACTTTTATTTAGTTAAGAAATCTATTTAATATAAAAATGCTTATTTTATTAATGTTTTTTACACAAGAATTTTTATATAAAATGTAGCAAATAACATCATTCAAATAAGCAGCTGTAAAAAATGTCAATGAAAATCAAAAATATAAATGACAATATTTTAATTGCAGTACTGTGATCAGACAGAAGACTAAAATACAGCAGTATTGGGCATGTGTGATATACTTCAAATTCAATACAATGGAGTTCATTGACACTTGTATACTGGTATTATTTCATGAAACTTTGAAATGTTACTGATATTTGTGAATGGACGTTTTAAAAAATAACTTTTTATAGATCATAGATATTTAGCTATCAATAAAAATCTTAAATGTAACCTAATTTTATAATGGTAGTTAATGGATTAGTGGTTAAGCTATTCCACAATTTTTTCTAAACTTTTTATTGCAAATTTATTCCATCTACTACATGTAGAATTGTCTATAAAGTAATGTTTACTATTTTATACAATAAAGTGTTAATATATTGCTTTATTGTTTTGTGAGAATAGTAAGCTGGAATTGCTTGTTGATTTTTGAATATAGTGATACTAATTCTTTGCATTATAATTATTTGAATGGTGTTCCATGACTTCAAAAAGGTTGAGAACCATTAATTTAGATATTTAATTATTAATATATTGTTGACTATAATTACTTTTTATATTTGCTGTAAGAAATTAAGTTACAGATAGGGAAAATAAAGAAGCAAATAAATTTCTTGTATATAAAACTTATAAAATTTCTTGGTATACAAAATTAGTGCTTTAACAAATTGAAAATAGTTTTTAGCCTTATATATTCTGTATAGATATATTCATTTATCCTTTGTAAATTCTAACAAAGACTAATATTGACATTTCCTTATGTCTCTCATGTCACATCACCTTTCTCTGAATAATTTAAATAACCATATAAATATCTTAAATTGAGTTTGTATGCAGAAATAACTACCTAAGTTGACAATCAGTTTTTCTTTGTCTACTTATACAAGTTTTTGTCATTTAATTCAAAAGAAATGACATTAGTACTCCTGTCCAAATTTTGTTGACCATGGTTTTTTCTATTAGTAACAAAATTACAAAAATCAAAGTTTTTAATAAAAATTTAAAAACTTGACAAGTTGGCAATTTCATTCTCAAGTATAAAAACAGTTTAGAAAATAACCAAGGTAAGTTAAGTAGTCAGAATGGCAAAGAGGAGTGTTACTATGAGAAAAGTGAAATTGGGTACATTTTTACTTCTAATTATTTTAAATGAAATTAAATAATTAGATACAATAAGAATCATCTAATAAGTTTCAAAATGATTTACAAAATTAAATGTAACTCATATACACACATCCAGCTTAACAAATTGAAAATGGATTTAACTTTACTATATTGTGTTTTTCTGTGTGTATTATTGTCATATATATATATATAATTTATTTTACAAAAACCCCATTTTATCCAAGTTTTGAAATAAGATGGAGTTTCTAAATTGTGAGTATTTAGATGGCATGTATTCTAATAGATCTGAAGCTAAATATTAAATTTTTGTTGTTCATGAATTTTCTTATCAATAATGTAAAATATATATATATATCCTTTATCTCTGTTTTATTATACAATTCTAGGAGATTCTCAACCATCAAAGATGTTTGATAGACATTCAAGTTTAAATGGATGTCAAATAATAAATTACAGAACAGATCATAAACTTCAGTGGCTGTTATTAATAGGCATATCAGCACAGGTAAGTTCACTTAAATCTTTGAATTTAAGTTTTATAACAATATATTGTAGATTCAGATCATAATATAATTCTTGGAAAGTGTGTATTTTGTTATTGTGAGTTATAATGTCAACATCAAAAATCTCAAGTGCTAACAAAATCTTGAATTGGAAAGGATGTACAGTACTCTAAGAATGTTTTTGTTTTTTCTTTCTCGTGTAATTTGTAGAGAGTAATTGGCTGAATAAAAGTAGGCAACTAAATCAAAATAAACACTTTTTGTTTATTAAAAATTGCTTTGTCAGGATAATTCACAGGATCTTGTCAGGATAGTTTATCACAAGCCTATTATCACAATGAATTTGCTATTAATGTTCTAAAATTTTTGTTCTAATTGAGAATTTCTTCATATCATATATACAAAAACTCTAGTTCTCAAAATGGGGATAGAGAAATTGAAAGTAAATTTTAAAAAATGCTCAGAATTGACTTTTCTGACTAATTCTATCATTCAAAAGTAGTTTGAATAAAATTTTTTTCAAAAACCTTTTCTGGACAACTCAATTATTCATAAATAATAATACAAAATCCAAAACAATCTTTTTGACATGCATTGAATGTAAATAGGCTTGATGTTAATTTATCACTTTTCATCTTCAGTTTTATGGAAAATTTATAAAAACTTTAAGTACAAATATGCAAAGTTAGTCCAAAAAATTATTTCAGTTTCCTAAAAGCCAGATTTATGAAGTGTTTTACAATTGCTGTTTAAAAACAGATATGGAGAACTTCATAATAAATATTACAATAATACATTTAAACAAGATAAATTCAAAGTGTACAATATTTTTGTTGAATTATGTTTTAATCTGAATAAGTTAGTTCTTTATTCAAAATTTAAGTGGTTAGCCTTAAGCAATTTTTATTAATTACTCAATGTATTATGAAATACATTAATGAAGTTGATTTTTCTAAATTATAAGAGACTTAACTCAGTTCTTAGTTGAAGATAAATGTTGTTTATAATATAATTTAATTAACTTTCTATATCAAAACATTTAATATAATATCTTAAAATATTGAATAATGTCAGTTTATAAAATTGTTAATTAAGTTATAGGTTACTTAAGGAATCTTGACCAAGAGCTTCTATTACCCAGATGTGGCTCTGGAATATTTAAAGACTTTACATGCCAGTGACCCCAAAATTTGCTTCATCTCCTGTTTACAGATCTTATAAAGTTATCTCCATATACCCAGACTTGTCCTTTCTAGGTTTACGAAACACTGTGAAATTTATGGAACTAGTTTGATATTTCACTTTCCTTCTCATAATCAAACATGACATATCCATTTTAAATGGACATTGTCAATAATTTGATTTGGATGACCAAAACCTTAAATTGTCAAAAAATGATAGTTCTAAAGTCATGAAAGTTAGCTTTTAGTTCAGTTCATTTATAACCATTTGATTACACAGGTTTTACTGTATAAGTAATCAGGAATCATGTTCACATGATATAAACTTTTTTGTATTTTGGCAGATTTTCACTTTGAATAGGTTTTAGTATTTTTTTTCCTTCATATCAGATAATTGTCCCATATTTATCTAGTATAAAAAGTTCATTTTTATAGTAAAATCACTTTTATTACATCAGAAACATTCTATTACTAATACTATAAATATATTTTTTTGTGAAATTTTAAGAGTCTTTATCATCCATCCATATCACACCTTTTGAACAATCCTTTCAGCAGAGCTGAAGTTTTATAGCTGCAAATTTTCTTTTTAAAGTGAGAAATTGCAGGATCTAGAAACTGCCATGTGTATGTTAAATCATCATAATTGAAGGTAGTTGGAGCTAGTGTCTTTAACCTTTCCTAAAATAGATATTTTAGGTAAGTAGGTAGATCAAACTTGCCATTCATGTCAGACATCAATGACAGGAATTTGAAATAATATAGAATTTTACCATGATTTTGAAATTTTGTTAATGTAGAAAATCTGTTTGTATGCTGCATTTGCCAAGGATTGAGGAGTTGATATAGTTATTTCATTATAGGAAGAGTTTTGAGTTAGTTAATTAGAAAACATGAAATATCCTACAATTTCTGTAGTAATAATGTTAATCAACTTGTTGAGTACTCAAAACTAGTTAGTTGCTACTCTGTATAAGAAAAATTGGCACATTCTTACTGTATGTTCATTGTTTTCAGTGAATACAGTTCATTGCTTGTTTTTGAACTGTTCTCAGGAATTTATTTTAAACTTAAATTTTCAGTTCTTAAGTACACAATTCTATTTTTTTAATTTCAACAAAGACTTTGTTCATCACATGATCTTTGTATCTGAAAGGCTCACACTTGTAAGAATAGTTTGTCATGCTCTGTGTGATGTATGGAAGTGATTTTACTACTATGTTCATAAGTAAAATTTTAATTTTTGCCTTATTACATTCATCATATTTAAAATCCTCTCTTGTTTTAGTGTTAGAGGTTTCTGGCATAACATAAAAATTTAACATTAAAAAATTATTCCATTCCAAATTTTTTCCATTTAGGCAAGTTTTAAACATTTTGTTTTAGGAAGGTTTCACTATATTATCTAAAAGTGTAAATGTCAAACACTAAACTTTTTCTGTAACTTGATTAGCCAGATAATTTTTGTAGAATATTTGAATTGAATTCTCTATGCATAGTAAACTTTTCTAATTTGATTTTATTTGAGGTTTTTTTAAATCATTATTAAATAATTTCATATATCAAAATATTAAACTCAACTTAGTGAATGTTAAGAAACAATTGTTTATTTGAATTAAAAGCTACAAATTTACTCATCTTTGTTTATAAAAATGGAATATTTTAATATTAATCAGTAAAATTTATTATCCTTATGTATTTTGATTGATCATTTTTTTTTAAGGATTCATTTTTGGTTTTCATATTTATTCACCTAAGTCCAATTAGATGAATTTTTAACCTGTTAATTATAAGGAGTTGTATATGCAGAAGGCCTAAATGCATTTTATATATAATTTATTTTGTGCTGACAATGCAGAGATGTTTCCTATAATTTTATAAAAATTGTTTTGTTAACAAAACTGGTATGAAGTTACATAAATTATCTAGTTAATGCAAGTACTTTCAATATAGTTAGATTTAAAATGTCTGGATTGGATTATTTACTCTTAAACAGGAATAAATTTGCTATCACCATTAGTGTATTATCTTCATTTATAAAATTTTAGTATAATAACTTGCATTAATATCAGCTATAATAAAAAATTTATTAAAAAACTTAGAAATTTGTTCAATGGAAGTTTTACTCAGTGTTTGGAAAATCAAACTTTCACTGTACTGACAACAGTAACTTGTAAGGGATAGAGCTCAGTCTGAATCATGTCTATCTGTTGGATGGAAGGAGTGGATCTGATCTCTCTCAGCTGCTTTTTACATTTTAAAAACGTTTTTATAGTATCTTTTATCATAAATAATTGTTTCACTTTTTTGCAAATTTTATTATTGTCCCTTCTCCCTTTACTTTTCATCTGAAATAGATCCTTCCAGCTCAGACTGACTCATGTTTACTTTTGCTGCTGGGACTATAATTAAATAAATAATTTGTGGTGGAAATACTTGGAGATCAAAATATAAGCTAATTAGCAAACTAAGTTAACTTTAACTTAATCTAAGTTAAAGATAAACCACTGAACTATTGATAACTTACAAGTTCAGTGAAAGTTTGTAATAATGAAAACTATTAATTGCAATCATACTAATGGAAAAGTACATTATAATAATTTTTTATAATTTTCCATTAGCGTTATCATAAAATCAGTTAATTACTGTTTTGTAGTGATTTTTAAACTTGTAAATTATGTAGTGTGTAAAATTTCTTAAAGCAAACCAAAAATTATTTTATGATGGCCATCAACTATTTTTTCTCCTCTAGCAAAATAGAGTAGTAGGTGCCATGCAATTATATTCAGTAGAAAGGAAGGTAAGTCAGCCTATTGAAGGTCATGCAGCTGCATTTGCCCAATTTAAATTAGAAGGAAATCCGGAAATATCTACTCTATTCTGTTTTGCTGTGAGATCTGCTCAAGGAGGAAAGGTATAACTTTGAAATAGAATACATACCTGTTTTTTAACATTTTAATCTTTTAACGTTTATTTTCTTTCTTTAGCTGCACATAATAGAGGTTGGACAACCTCCGGCTGGTAATCAGCCATATCCAAAAAAAGCAGTTGATGTGTTTTTTCCTCCAGAAGCTCAGAATGATTTTCCTGTTGCTATGCAAGTATGTATATGCTTTATTTTATATTAGTGGAATAAAGTATAAATATTCTTACACTTAAATAATTTCTTTTTAGGTTAGTCCAAAACATGATGTAATTTATTTAATAACAAAATATGGATATATTCATCTTTATGATTTAGAAAGTGGAATTTGTATTTATATGAACCGTATCACAGCAGACACTATCTTTGTAACTGCACCACATGATGCTTCTTCTGGTATCATTGGTGTTAACAGGAAAGGACAGGTAAGAGTTTAACTTTGTAAAGTAGTGTAAAATTAAACCAAGTAACTGCTTTTATATTTACTACTAGTGACATGTGCCCGGTTTTTGTTCAGATTTTTGAGTGATTAAAAACAATGGTTTTAGTAACTAAAATTTGTATTTATTGACCTGAGTATTTATAACAAAAGTGCAAAGAAAAAAACTTACTCAGGATTGCAGAACAAAAAGAAAACATTGTGCTTATCCCATGGCATAACTTTGAGTCCAATTTTCACAAATGCATTATTGGTGCTCATCATTACCTCTAATTTAGGTGGTGGTAATCCAACTGGTGATTCCAAGGAGTTTAAAACTCCACTGGGTACATTACTCCCTGATTTGCTTCAAATAGAATCAATGGACTTGTACAGTACGTTATGTAAGTTTATGGAAGTTGTGCTTGGATATGCAAATTCAGTTTGGTTCTCAATTGATACATTTTCAAGCAGTTTTTGTTCAAGACAGATCTTCGATCTGTATGATCTTCGATACTTTTGCTATTTCTTAACCTGTCCTGCATTGTTCCCGAAAATATTCGTGTTGACCTCATTGACCTGCGTGGGTGATCCCGAATATTTTTGTGTCTACATCAGAATGTTTTTGATACTAGATGTCGCTATGTGTCACAATTTTTATATTAAAATGAACTTTTGAAATATAATTTTTTTTTGTTTCTATATTTTTCAATATATTTTGTTTGTGCAACATAAAAAAAAATTTTGTAACGACACAGGAAACACAATTATTATTAAGCCTAAAAAAATTTTTTTTTAAACATTGACAAAAATTCAACATGGCCTCACAGGCAACAGATAAAAATTTCAACATTGGATAGGTTAATGAACTTTCCTCTGGCTTCTGCACTTTTTTGGGCAATTGAAACATTTTTTTCAGTGACATTTTCAAAATCAGTTAAAATTCATTTATTTTTAGATCACTACTAAATTATTATACAACAATCCAAACTAACAATAATCATTTTTGCTAAAATTTGCATTTATTGACCTGAGTATTTATAACAAGTGCAAAAAAAAACTTACTCAGGATTGCAGAATAAAGATAAAACATTGTGCTTGAAACTTTGTGCTAAAAGATACTGCTATATGTAAAGGCATGTAAGCTATGTACTACCCCAAAATATTGGGGTAGTACATGGTTAGTCTAAGCAATACTCATACAAACTTTGGTCCAGATTAGATGAAATGAATTCAATAATATAACCACTATTTGTTGAAAATTATTTGAAATCTGTACTGTGCTAGTTAAGTATATTACATGCAATGAGACTATATTTGTTCAAATTACAATATATTAAAAAATGCCTGTATTATAGCACAGTTAGTCTTCATTTTAATAAAGTTTTTACATAATTTTTATATTCATTGAATGGGTCAAAAACATTAATTACAATGTCTATTGCAAAATGTTTAGTATTCATTTTCAGAATGGAACATTAAAGGTATTTAGTTTCAAGGACTTCTCATATCTTTAAGTATTATGCATTATTAACTGTTTAAACTAATAAACATTGAAATACTTCCGAAAAATAGTTCCCTGGAGTTAAGTCCAATTATCAATAAATTGGAATAATGCCAAAGTTCCACTGTAAAAAGTAATCAAAATAATTCTGTTATCAATAAAGTGTTAATTACAATTGAAACTTGTTTATACTTATGTATGTTAAGCTGATAACTATTTAACTCCAGACACACAAAGTTCTGTACCTTTCAGCATTTGTATAGAGTATTTGAAAAATAAACAAATGCATAGTTGTTTTTAAATGTCTTTCTAAAAAGTTTGTATTTTAAATAAAATTGTTAGTAGCCATAAAAAGAATGGCTTTGAAATATAGTATCCTTCCAACTTTTTTAAAAAGGAACTTGTTCTGGTATCTGTTTGTGCATTTTGAGTCAAAATCATTTAGTCACTAATTTTAGCATTGCTGTATGAAGAGAGTAATTTTCCTTTTGTACATTTAATACATGAAAATTTGCTAAGGTGTTCAAGCAAGTTGATTGGTGTAAGTTGTATAAGACATCAAATTTTTCTGTTCAATATGTATTTTTAGCATTTTTCCTTTTTCATTAAAACTAAGGAAAATGTTTGATATTAAGTCATAACTTTATAATTTTAAAAATTATAAGCTTTAATTTGTTTCATAAAATTAAATTACAATAGAATCAAATACTTAGAATGTCTTCTAATGAAGTGAAAATTTCAAATATTTTGGCTTATATGCAAATATAGCGCTTTTTTTAATTTATATGAACAAATGTAGATGTAAATTAAGATGTGTAAGATCTTGTATATCATTATGAATCATATTCTAATACAGTGTTAAACTAAAAATTGAATACAACTTGAAATATTTCATAGGTCTTGTCTGTGTGTGTGGAAGAAGAAAGCATTATTCCATATATCAATAATATTCTGCAAAATCCTGATCTGGCATTGAGGATGGCTGTAAGAAATAACCTTTCTGGTGCAGAAGAACTTTTTGTTCGTAAATTTAATTCACTCTTCACTGGCGCACAGTATGCTGAAGCTGCTAAAGTTGCTGCCAATGCACCTAAAGTAAATATTGTTGAATATATATTAATAGTAACTATCAAAATTAGATTTAGAGAATTTAACTATATATTTCTTATATAGGGAATTTTACGAACTCCTCAAACTATTCAAAGATTCCAACAAGTACCCACTCAACAAGGACAAACTTCACCATTACTTCAGTACTTTGGAATATTGTTAGATCAGGGGCAGCTAAATAAATTTGAATCTTTGGAATTATGTCGACCCGTCCTGCAACAGGGAAGAAAACAGTTACTAGAAAAATGGCTGAAAGATGACAAAGTATGTCTGATATTTTAATTTTTTTTCTCAGCTAGAAATGACATTAGCATAATTTTTAAATTCTTTTTTATAGTTGGAGTGTAGTGAAGAACTTGGTGATCTTGTTAAACAAGTTGATCCAACTTTAGCATTATCTGTGTATCTTAGAGCTAACGTTCCAAATAAAGTAAGAATTTTTATACTTAAATTTTAATTACTCAAAGCGTAATGATTTGTCTTTATGTAACCTAAAATAATTGTGCAAAATATTTTAAAATTAGTGCCATATAAAACTTAGAGTAAATAAAAATTTCAACCAAAAAAATGGAATCTACTTTTAATTTTTTTCTCAAAATTAAAGTTTTCCTTATTACTTTAAAGTAGCTCAACAATGTAAATCAAAGCTATACTAAATCTGTAGTTTATAAAAAATTTTGTACTATTATATATTTGAGTTTCTTATAAATTGAATAACATTTGAATTTTTTCTTGTTTAATAGGTTATACAATGTTTTGCTGAAACAGGACAATTTCAAAAAATAGTTCTTTATGCTAAGAAAGTAGGTTACACACCTGATTATATTACACTCTTAAGACAAGTAATGAGAATCAACCCTGATCAAGGAACATCCTTTGCACAAATGTTGGTACAAGATGAGGAACCACTGGCTGATATTAATCAGGTATGAAAATTAATATTTGAAACAGGATATTAGTGGTTTTTAGTAGTACTTGTACTTTAGATTTATTATAAGTTTTGAAATTTGATGGATATTTTGCAATAAAATTAATTAAATTACAATTTATAAGATTTTTTTAAACATAATTACATTTCAGCTCCAAATTGTTCTTTATAAAAGAACTGTTCTTAACGTCAAAAGTTCAATTACACATTGATTCTTTAACTGTACTTGCAATAATTACTATGATAACAAAAATGTACTGAATTCTAATTTGTATAGAAACAAAACCATTATTTTAATAATTACTATATATAATCAATGAAAAAAATAAAGGTTTCATATGGGAATAAGAATTTTCCACTTTTCTGTTTTTATAAAAACTAAGCTTGAATCCAAATAAAAACTAAATACTAAAGCAGGTTATCAAATACAGGATGATACTTGCATGTGATATTCTGACAGATGGATGACTAAGAATATAAATGTAATTACAATAAATGGTACTATGCATTGATTGCCACTATAAAACTATGAAATCTCATAAACTCATTAAACAAATTATAAGCTATCTTGTATGAGTTAAATATTCTGTTAGTTGTTCAACCACCATAACACTTTGTGTTCACATGCTTTTTCTTGCTGGAAAGATAGATATATATCTATCTATATTTGGTTTATGGTGTCTGATGTTGCCTTCTTACCTCCAGGAATCATCTCTATCCATACACCATTCCTCTTTAATCCCTTTTTCACTACATGCTAACTTTACTCCATTGTACCAAGTTCACCTGTCTCTTTCCCTCTCTTTTTTGTGAAATGTATTCCATTGACATTTTTGGGAGTCTCTCATCAATTTTTTCCTTCTCACATGTCCAAACCAAATAAGTTGTTTCCTCCCCGTATTTCTTCCAAAACAGTCTCCTTCAATCCCATTAGGTCTTTGATCCTCTCATTATTCTTTCTCTTTTCAAGATTCTGCATGATCTCAATGCATCCATTTCAACTGTTATTTTCTCTTCTCTTCCCCAGTCATTCTACATGTCTCCACTCCGTATAATAGAATGCTTTCCACCATATTCCATTTAATCTTTTAACTGCTCTCTTACTTTGTGCTAATCTTGTATTAATTTCTAATGCATCTCTCCCATGTTGATAAATTTGTATTCCAAGATAATTGTAATGCTCACATTCCTCAATCTTTTCTCCTTTTTTCAGTTCCATGTCTGTTTTAGCCCCTCTTATGCATAAATATTTTGTTTTACTCATGTTTATATATAAACCTCCTTTAAAATATTCCTCTCTTATTTTTCTTGTGATGTATTCCAGATCATTTTTATCTTTGGCCATTACACCTGATCATCTGCAAATTTCAATGTAAACGTTGGCTTACCGTTAATATCTATTCCCATATTACAACATTTCTTTTTCCATATTTTCAATATTCTTATGTAGATTTTAAATAAAGTTGGTGAGATACAACATTCCTGTCTTAGTCCTTTTGATACCATAAATACTTCTGACATTTTTTTCTAATTTTTATTTTCATTATGAATTCTCTATATAATTCTTTAACTACTTTTAATAAGTGTGTTGTTAATATTTATCTCTTAATGTCTCCCATAGTTTTGATGTTCTGACATTATCGTATGGCTTCATTAAATCTATAAACAATTTAATCCATAAAAGTCTAATCCATTTGAATTTGAAAATTTGAATAGATGAACAAATTTTGTATTGTGAGAGTAATTTCAGGTNCGGATTTTTCCTTATCCGGACTACCTTCATCCCCAATTAGTCCGGATAATAGAGGTTCTACTGTACTTAATCACTGAAGCTTTGGCCCCATGTTTCTTTAATCAAATGGTAGATGCTATATTATGACTATTGTGCATCATTTCTTATGGGACATGCAATGTATAAGACAGAAAATAACTGCAAATACTGATTAGATACTGTTCAGAGGAACAACAGGAAGTTATCTGCAGGCATCTCCAGACCTCATTTATTGGGCATGCAGATGCTGAAACAATTAAATCAAAAATAATACTGGCAATTGAAGATGCATATCTACCTCTTAATAAATTACTGATGACGGATGCAATGGGCCAAACGTAAACAAAAAAAGTATTCTCACATAAATGAGGAAATTGTGACAAATCGCAAAAAAAGGCCTTATTAACATAGGGACTTGCAGCATTCATACAATCCACAATGCCTTTTTGAAAGGCCTGAAAGAGTTGGGCAGAGATAGTGGTGATCTCATCATAGCAACACACAGATTTTTTGATGGGTGGCTCTCTAGGTGAGATGAATACATAGAAATTCCAGAGAAACTTAATTTGCCATGCAACAAATTTATGAAGTATTCATCAACTAGATGACAGACATTTGGTCCTGCAGAAAAACGACTGCTCGAACAATGGGAAGGACTTGTATTATACTTCCTAAAGCACATTCCTCAAGAATTCCAGCTTATTGTATAGTGTTTCATATAAAATAATCTGTCATTGAAGTGAACCATCAAAGCTGAACTCTATTTGGGAATATCTAGTGCTGAACTATTCAAAGTTTACTGGGCATTTTCAGTGCAATGATCCTTTAACTCTTTGGGTACACAGAAATTTTTAATATTAATGTAATTAAACATAAAAAGTATTTTTAAAATTGAAAAAATGAAAGAAATGCATTAATTTTGAAGAGAAAGCTTCAAAGTTTTAACTTCCATTGTCTCCCCTTTCTGTGAAATCTGACACCGATGAGTCATTGTGTTTACAGCTTGATGACCTTGAGAACAGCTGGTGTTGGATTTCCCGGGACATTCTCAGAAGTCTCAGGAGGAGAAGGGTTTAAAGTAGGATGAATACTAACTGGCCATATATATTTAAATATTTTTCAAAAATTAAGTTTTTTATTGCAATTTCCAACCCCCCCAACTTAATTAAACGTATATATAATAAAATCAATTAAAAAAATTAAAAAACTATTGGAGGTCATTTTTGACATCAGAAACTAACTTTAAATAACTTTACCGAAGTAAAATCTGTGCACTACAACTTTAGAATGATGATTTAAATTTGATTTAAAAAAATCGCATTAAAAAACAATTAAGCATTAATCGTGCAGCATTAAAGGTAGATTAAAATTGTGATAAAATTTTTTCGCGCAAGAAAAAATTTTTGAAACAATTTGGAGACTTAAAAAACATCCAAAAATAAAAAAAAAAACTTTTTTTCAGAGGGTCCAAATGCCCGAGTTTTATGTAACTCTATGGAACTTACCCAAGTTATCTCGGGATAAGGGTAATACATAAACTTCATACCAGAGTAATCAATTCACTATAAAGAAAATTCAGTGTGATGGAGAGAACAAGAGAAGTACAGAAACTGCAGCATGACTTTAACAAAAAATCTTTAATTACAAATTTTTTTAACAAGAAATCAAAAAATGTACCTTGAAATAAATGGCATTTGAAATTTGGCATGTTATATGGGGAGACATTTTGGTAGTTATGTTATTCAGCAAAGGAAATGGAAGAGTAACTGTAGGAACGCTGTACGGGGCACATGAAAACTTAATGCAGGCCCGTTCTGGCTTAATGCAGTCNGTCTGATATTTTAATTTTTTTTCTCAGCTAGAAATGACATTAGCATAATTTTTAAATTCTTTTTTATAGTTGGAGTGTAGTGAAGAACTTGGTGATCTTGTTAAACAAGTTGATCCAACTTTAGCATTATCTGTGTATCTTAGAGCTAACGTTCCAAATAAAGTAAGAATTTTTATACTTAAATTTTAATTACTCAAAGCGTAATGATTTGTCTTTATGTAACCTAAAATAATTGTGCAAAATATTTTAAAATTAGTGCCATATAAAACTTAGAGTAAATAAAAATTTCAACCAAAAAAATGGAATCTACTTTTAATTTTTTTCTCAAAATTAAAGTTTTCCTTATTACTTTAAAGTAGCTCAACAATGTAAATCAAAGCTATACTAAATCTGTAGTTTATAAAAAATTTTTTACTATTATATATTTGAGTTTCTTATAAATTGAATAACATTTGAATTTTTTCTTGTTTAATAGGTTATACAATGTTTTGCTGAAACAGGACAATTTCAAAAAATAGTTCTTTATGCTAAGAAAGTAGGTTACACACCTGATTATATTACACTCTTAAGACAAGTAATGAGAATCAACCCTGATCAAGGAACATCCTTTGCACAAATGTTGGTACAAGATGAGGAACCACTGGCTGATATTAATCAGGTATGAAAATTAATATTTGAAACAGGATATTAGTGGTTTTTAGTAGTACTTGTACTTTAGATTTATTATAAGTTTTGAAATTTGATGGATATTTTGCAATAAAATTAATTAAATTACAATTTATAAGATTTTTTTAAACATAATTACATTTCAGCTCCAAATTGTTCTTTATAAAAGAACTGTTCTTAACGTCAAAAGTTCAATTACACATTGATTCTTTAACTGTACTTGCAATAATTACTATGATAACAAAAATGTACTGAATTCTAATTTGTATAAAAACAAAACCATTATTTTAATAATTACTATATATAATCAATGAAAAAAATAAAGGTTTCATATGGGAATAAGAATTTTCCACTTTTCTGTTTTTATAAAAACTAAGCTTGAATCCAAATAAAAACTAAATACTAAAGCAGGTTATCAAATACAGGATGATACTTGCATGTGATATTCTGACAGATGGATGACTAAGAATATAAATGTAATTACAATAAATGGTACTATGCATTGATTGCCACTATAAAACTATGAAATCTCATAAACTCATTAAACAAATTATAAGCTATCTTGTATGAGTTAAATATTCTGTTAGTTGTTCAACCACCATAACACTTTGTGTTCACATGCTTTTTCTTGCTGGAAAGATAGATATATATCTATCTATATTTGGTTTATGGTGTCTGATGTTGCCTTCTTACCTCCAGGAATCATCTCTATCCATACACCATTCCTCTTTAATCCCTTTTTCACTACATGCTAACTTTACTCCATTGTACCAAGTTCACCTGTCTCTTTCCCTCTCTTTTTTGTGAAATGTATTCCATTGACATTTTTGGGAGTCTCTCATCAATTTTTTCCTTCTCACATGTCCAAACCAAATAAGTTGTTTCCTCCCCGTATTTCTTCCAAAACAGTCTCCTTCAATCCCATTAGGTCTTTGATCCTCTCATTATTCTTTCTCTTTTCAAGATTCTGCATGATCTCAATGCATCCATTTCAACTGTTATTTTCTCTTCTCTTCCCCAGTCATTCTACATGTCTCCACTCCGTATAATAGAATGCTTTCCACCATATTCCATTTAATCTTTTAACTGCTCTCTTACTTTGTGCTAATCTTGTATTAATTTCTAATGCATCTCTCCCATGTTGATAAATTTGTATTCCAAGATAATTGTAATGCTCACATTCCTCAATCTTTTCTCCTTTTTTCAGTTCCATGTCTGTTTTAGCCCCTCTTATGCATAAATATTTTGTTTTACTCATGTTTATATATAAACCTCCTTTAAAATATTCCTCTCTTATTTTTCTTGTGATGTATTCCAGATCATTTTTATCTTTGGCCATTACACCTGATCATCTGCAAATTTCAATGTAAACGTTGGCTTACCGTTAATATCTATTCCCATATTACAACATTTCTTTTTCCATATTTTCAATATTCTTATGTAGATTTTAAATAAAGTTGGTGAGATACAACATTCCTGTCTTAGTCCTTTTGATACCATAAATACTTCTGACATTTTTTTCTAATTTTTATTTTCATTATGAATTCTCTATATAATTCTTTAACTACTTTTAATAAGTGTGTTGTTAATATTTATCTCTTAATGTCTCCCATAGTTTTGATGTTCTGACATTATCGTATGGCTTCATTAAATCTATAAACAATTTAATCCATAAAAGTCTAATCCATTTGAATTTGAAAATTTGAATAGATGAACAAATTTTGTATTGTGAGAGTAATTTCAGGTAATAAACTTTCAAAGGTAATATATATAAAATATAAAGTAATAAAATAACTGTGTATATATATACATTCATTCATTCATTCCATATACATATACATCAAGTTATTTTATAGTCAATATTCATTTTTATAACAGTAAATTTCAAATATTTTGTAATTTTACTAAATACTTTGTAATAATTACTAAATTCTAATTAAGAAAAAATTAGAATTTAGAAATTATTTGAAAATTATAAAATCTTCACTGTTTTATAATGTAAATTTTTCTAAATTTAATCTTAAGTGTTAGTTTATAAAATTTTCAAATTCATTATTAATGCTTTGGTTTAGTTCCTCAATTATTTAGATTTTCTTCACAAATGTAATAAATAATCCAGCCATCTGAGATTTCTATTAATAATAGAAAAACCTGTGTTAAAATCTGTAGTTAATATTTGCTTAAGTTCATAATTTTAACAGATCTTTTTAAGTATGGAAATAGTCATTAAATAAGTTTCTTAAATATTGCAGGTTAAGAAAAATATTAACTTGTCTGAACATGCATTATTTTACTAAAATATAAATTTTGAAATTTGTCACATGCTACAAATAACTTCAAACTAAAATCATATTTTACTTAACTTTAGTTATCAGGCAGTATAATTAAGAACAGTATGTGTAGTTAAAAATAAAATGTATGTAATTATTTAGAAATGTGAAATTCTACTCATCAAATAATATTTTGGTTTTTATATTTAATCTATTGAATATAATGCTACATTATCACTCTTATAAGGTGTATCCTTTTCATTAAACATACTATTGCTAATGTATTTTTCTGTTTATTCTTTATTGTTCATAACATCCTAAACTTTGCTACTTTCCTGTTGCTTCCCTAATTTTTTTTTTCTTTTGCACTAAAGATTTTTAGAGCCTCAATTTGCATGAATCAAAGAAAACAAATAGATTTAAATATATTATTGCTGCTATTTTCTAAAACTTTGAATGTTATTTTTTTCATTTAAAAGTGAGGTGCTGTAATTCCAGATTTTACTCATAAAGAATCTTTTAATAAGAAATTTATCTGCTTCATTCTTAGTAAATTTTGTTAATTTGAGAGTTGGGCTTCATATAGTTCTTAGTCTGATCTAAAGTCATTTAGCAAGTTTGAAACTATCTCATTCAATGTAATCAATTTCTTGTATAGAAAAAAGCTATATGACTATTTTAAGTCATCTGATTGAACTTTTTTTAAACTCCTCCTTAAATAGCTTATCTAAATTAATATTTGTTTGTTTGTTACTTGCTGTTTAATTCATGCCTATGAATATAAGAAATTAAGAACATTATTTTTGATTAGATCATTATTGACATGAGTGTGATTAATTGATTCTAAAAAGAAATGACAAACTAAGTTGGGCTGCTTCCAGTGCCCATTTCCATCCATTTATCTGTTAATCTATTTAGGTAATTCCATGTCGCTGAGGACAAGGTGCCAGTTATTTTGAGGTACTGTTTTATAAGACACATTTTTTTATTTTAAATCAAATTTCAATGTTTGAATATATTACAACATTATATTTAAGAATTCATTTTGTTAGTATTATCAGTGTTGGTTACCTATTGTATTCTTCACTTTCAATGAGTATTTCATCAATGCTGAAAACACCCATAAACATGACACGATGATACTGTTTTGAAAATAGGTTTAAAATGAGAAATGATTGCTCATTTATAAGTCATTGTTTTTTAAATGAAGCAGATCAGTACAGAATTAGTTTTTTGGATGTAAATATATAATACTTGTAAATTGGAAAATATTTAAAGTACAACTTAAAAGTTATTTTTTTCCAATAAATTCTTTAACAGAATACATTATTCAAGTAGTTAGATTTCTTTAGACATAATTTTTTTAATAAAATAATTTTAACACCAGCTTTTAATGTTTGTCATTCTGAATTCAATAAACTATAGAAAAATTATTTACTGAAATTAAGGAAACTTGACATATGACAGCAGATTTAGATTCAAATACACTGTTTATGTATTAAAGAAATCAATTTGCTTTAAGTTAAAATTTAAACTTTTGCTTCAATACTTTCAGATAGTTGATGTATTTATGGAACAAAATTTAGTACAGCAATGTACTGCTTTCTTATTGGATGCTTTAAAAAATAATCGCCCTTCTGAAGGACACCTGCAAACAAGATTACTTGAAATGAATCTAATGACTGCACCTCAGGTAATGAAAGTTTCAAATTCAAAATTTCTATATATTCTGTGATACAATGTATAATTTATGTTCTTGTACAGGTAGCTGATGCCATCTTAGGAAATCAGATGTGTACCCATTATGATAGAGCGCACATTGCTCAATTATGTGAAAAAGCAGGCTTGCTTCAGAGAGTAAGTGAATTAGCAACATGTTGGTTTTTTTTGTTTTAAAATCCCTAAACAATTCTCCCTAAAATCATTCCTGTTTCAGGCACTTGAACATTATACGGATTTGTATGATATTAAACGAGCAATTGTCCATACACACCTGTTAAATCCTGAGGTAAATTTCAACTTTCAATTCATAATTTTTGATAAAATTTTATTTCCTAATTCTTTTAAAAGTTCTTAGGCCATTTAACAATTACAGTTGAACCTTATCAGTTTTTTAAGGAAACTGAGAAAAATATTGTATGTAAGGGATAAATGTACAAGTAAAATAAATTTTGAATTGCTTTCAGAGTAAATGCAATCATTGCAAGTCTCTGGCACAAATTAACACTACCAATGAATTTGTACATTAATTCATAACAAAAACAAGATGTATTATACATGTGGTAAATAAAATTTGAACATCATGTAAAAAAGTAAACTGTGTAAAATTATCATATACTTTAAAAAACAATTGGTCAGTTTTTCTGATAACAGTATGAGTATCCACTGTTCCATATCATTGTGTGCTTCTGTCAAAAATCCAGTCATGAAAAAATGAAGTCATTCTAAAGGTTTGCTCACACTTACAGCAAATAATGAAAACAAATACAGTGGTACCTCGGTATATGTCTGCTTTAGAATACGTGCTGTTTGGATGAAACAAATTTTGCTCGGTATAAGACTTTTATTCGGTATATGACGTAATTCAATTATACGCGCCATCAATGAACAAGTAGCACTATCGGTGTACTAGACCAGACTAGATGTTCGCGGTGCAACAGAGTATAACTTTGTTAAATTTCTTCTGATTTTAATTCGTAAGTAAAATTTTATTATTTTTATTAATCACGAATTGCAAAAAGGCAAACAAAAAGCAACAGAAAACTAAAAAAATGACTAGAATTACAATGGAACTGATGAAAGAGATTGTTGAGAAATATGAAGGTGGCACACGTGTTCGAGATTTTAACTGTTGTTTACCATATTCCGAGAACGACAATATGGACAATCGCGAAAAATAAAGACATTATTAAATCTGCTAACATTGCGAAAGGGGTTAAATCAAAACAGAGATCGAAGACATTAGATCATGTTGAGAAATTGTTTTGCTTTGGATAACTGAAAAACAGTGCTGGAGATAACGTATTGGAAGCAATTATTTGTGAGAAAGCTAAAAAGATACACGCTGATCTCACAAAAAATCAAGTAGGAACTAGCCAGGAAAGCGAGGTGTTTAAACCCAGCCATTTTTTTACACAAGAATGGATTAATCATTTTTACATTATTTCTTATGGGAAAGGATGGTTTAGTATACGTCCAGTTCGGTATAAGTCCAAACATCAGGAACAGATTAAGATTGTATACCGAGGTTCCACTGTACTTTTTTTTTTTACTTAACAAAATTGATTTACACTACAGAATGAGGGCAGGAAAAAATTATGTTGGATTTGCAGAGCAATTTGCTAAGTGGGAAAATTGGCAGAAATTGTATTGTTTGTTAAAAGTATTATTCACTCTGCTTTTTGTATCTGCTGTTGATTCACTGTGTGTGGAAGAATCTTAGTATTAAAAACTAAATTTATGTATTCATCATTCATTTCAAAGGGAATAATGTTTAAGTGAGAAAAGATGCTTAGGGTTCCAAAAATGATAGGCATAAAAGTGCAAAATCATACAAATGAAAAAATTTCAATTATGTTTAAACGGTTCTTAAAATTAATGCAAGATTTAAATTTTGTACCACTTTTCTCCTATTGTCTTTGCAGAGTCATATGAAGTGACATCTTGTAGTAAACACATTGCAGTTAATGCGAAGTGATACACAATGGAGGAGCACATAATTATCATCAAAACTTTTTGCAAGTTTTGATCATTATCATATGCACAAATTACATGGCATGTTTCTTCAACCAAAAATGCAAATTGAAATGATTGAACAACTGATGCATGCTTACTGAGTGACAATTTGGTGTGGATTTTGGACTAGTGGAGTGATTGAAAACATTTTCAGCCATATTTCTTTTGAAATGAGGTTGAAAATTCAGTTACTGTTAATGGTGTGCATTGTCACAAGATATTTGAGTTTTTATGGTCTCATTTGGATGGCATAGATTTGAGTGACATGTAGTTCCAGCAGGATGGTGCCACCTGTCATATGGCATATGAAACAATATATTTATTGCATCAGAAGTTTCTTGGGCAACTCCTCTCCCAACAGCAATCAGAATTGACCACCAAAATCATGCAACTTTTTTCTCTGGTATTTATAAAGTCCAAAGTTTATGCCTAAAAATAAAAACAATCCCTGAATTGAAAGCACAAATTAGAAAAGTTATTGACAAAATTGAACTGCAATTGTGCAAACTGAAAATTGTCTAAAGAATGAGTGTCAGAAATGTCATGGGGGCATTTGTCAGATATTTGATTTTATATTTAATTGCAATGTTTGCCTTTTAAAATGATGTAACAACTTTTGCCAATTAATAAACAAATGATGTTATTTTTAAAAATTAAATCCTACATTACGTTTGGGACATCCTATATAATGAGGACAGTATTGTAAGAAAATTTTTAATGTAAAGCTTAAAAATGTATGAGATTCAACTGTAATTTAGCATGACATCAGTTTTCTATTGAACTACAAATTTTGGAAATTTTAGTATTTAAATGTTAATGTAAACATTAAAATTTTTGTAAATAAAGTAATTTTGACAAAATAAAATTAACAAGATATAAATGTTTAAATTTTTCAGGACTTAAGTTAGTGTTATTGCATTCACATTTAATATGCAATAATTTTATACTTGGATTTTCTTAGTTTTAAAGGAATTTCTTTTGAAGTGAATTTTTTAATACAGCTAATAAAGTTTAAATTTATAACCATTATAATTGAAAAATTATGGATTACTTTATAATTGATCAGATTTTTTTAATTTTATAATTTTAGTAAATCTTAAATTCTAAATATATTTGTGCATAGTAATATGATTTTAATGCCAACAGATTACATAATGCATAATTCAAATGCATTTTAAAGTTAATACTTCCATTTTTTTTTTTAAATGTTAGTTTTCCTGCTGAAAATACAAAATATTGCATATGTATTTGAAGAAACTGCAAAATACTAAACTGAAACAGAGCAGGACAATACCAACCATAATCTTTTGTTTAATGTTTGTTAATGCGGAGGAAAAAATAAAATGATAAAATACATATTAGAATTGTTGCTTCTTCAACATATACTTTAACTTAAAACACTTTGAAAATACTAAAAAGCACATCTCCAATGTCTTTTTCTCTGTATACCACACATTCAAAGAACTATGTAAAAAAAATTGCATTAATGATATGTATTTGGTGAATACATAATACTTGCTATTCAGCACTTAATTCAATTTAACTTGACAAAAATGTCCTGTGTCTACTTAAAAATTGCCTTATTGTCAAAAGATAATTGCTTCTAAAACTGTGTGAATATTAAAGTACAGAATTTTTAGCTAGCTCTAAGAATTTTTCTAGGTTGTATTGTCAAATAAAACTAATATGTTAACCTTTTTTTATGTTGCAGTGGTTAGTGAATTATTTTGGTTCCTTATCTGTTGAAGATTCAATTGAATGCTTGAAAGCCATGTTAAGTCATAACATCAGACAAAATCTTCAGATTTGTGTTCAAGTTGCTACTAAATATCATGAACAGTTAACAACTGCAGCTTTGATTGATTTATTTGAATCTTTTAAAAGTTATGAAGGTAAGTTCTAAAAGAAACATAAACTCAAAAAATTTTTTATTAATTTCTTAATATTGTTTAGGCCTTTTTTATTTTCTTGGATCAATTGTCAATTTTAGTCAAGATCCAGAAGTCCACTTTAAGTATATTCAGGCAAGTTATAAGTTTCTAAGTGATCTAAATGTAAGAACTGATTTTATATAAAATTTGTTTGCTTTCAACAGGCGGCATGTAAAACTGGTCAAATAAAAGAAGTTGAAAGGATTTGTCGAGAAAGCAATTGTTATAATCCGGAAAGAGTAAAAAACTTTTTGAAGGAAGCTAAATTAACTGATCAGTTACCTCTTATTATTGTTTGTGACAGATTTGATTTTGTTCATGATCTTGTTTTGTATTTATATCGAAATAATTTGCAAAAATATATTGAAATTTATGTACAAAAGGTAAGTTTTTTTATTTTCCATTTTTCTAGCAAATATAATTATTAAAATAGATTTTTAAGCATTTTAACAGCTAAAAATTACTCCCCTTTTTTCCTACCTATTGGGTTGTTTAGAAAGTAATTTTGTTTTTTTATCACTAGATGGATTAGTCATATTTTTCCCGCCATTTTCATTCTAAACTGTATTATCATTATATATTTTGACAGCTAGCATTTTAAGGCTTATTTGTAAAAAATTGTTTGATTTTGTGCAATTGTTTATTTTTTGTCCCCCATCAAATATGAAAGATTGAAAACAGCATTTTAGGCATATTTCACGCTTTTATTACCGAAAAGGTAAGAATGCTGTTCAAGCGAGAAAAAAAATTGAGATACCTGTATGGAGATGATGTGTTGACAGAATGACAGTGCCAAAACTGGTTTACAAAATTTCATTCTGCAATTTCAATATTGAAGATGAACCACATTCTGGATGGCCAGTTGAAGCCAATGAAAACAAAATAAAGGTACTGATTGACGCAAACTGCCAAATAACAACACATGAAATCACTAAGAGATGAAATTTGTCAAATTGAACTGTTTATGATTACTTGAAACAAATTGGTTTTGTTTCAAAGCTTGATATGAGTTCCACTTGTTCTTAAAGAGAGATGCTCTCTTTCGTGGGATTTTAAGGAAATTTCTTTTTTGGAGTTTTAACTAGACAATTTAATGATTGATTCCAAAGTGTACTGCCATTGAGTAAATAAATATCATCAAACAGAAAAGGCCAGAATTGGTCAACAAAACAGGTGTAGTGTTTTACCACGATAATGTCAAATTTCACACAAGTTTGGTAACTCATCAGAAACTGTTACAGCTTAGATGGGATGTGCTATCACACCAACCATATTTGTCAGATTGAGCACACTCAGATTATTACTTATTTTGGTTTATACAAATTTTTTTAACTGTAAGACATTGCCATTTCAAGTAAATGTCAAAAATCACTTGGATCAGTTTTTGTAAGCAACGATCAAAACTTTTATGAATGTGAAATCATGCTACTACCAGAAACGATGACAAGTATTTGACCAAAATGGTCGATACATAATTAAATAAAATATTTATTTATTGTAAAAATATTATTATTTTTTTTTTTTTCGACGGGGAAAAACGAAAGTACTTTCCGAACAACCCAATATATTGTTGACGACTATTATAAATTCTTTTAACCTGTGATCAAATGCTTTTTTTCAACATGGCTGCATTTGTAAGATTACAATTTTTGATGATTTTAAATATATAATTAGACTGCATGTAATTCCTATTCCTCAACTGATGAGAAATTCCATGATGTCTTTTCTGCACTTGCCAAATTTCAATATTTGTTTAGTTTGAAATTTTTTATAAATAAAACTGTCTTTGACTATTTTCTCAAAGGAGCTTCCCAAACTTTGCAATAGCATAGGTTAAAATGTGTATAATGATATGGCTGATATGTTTCTGAAAGATGAGAGAATATATTTTTCAAACATGAAAGCTGTAAAAACACTTAGCCTGGTATGCTATGACCTTCAGTAATTTATCTTGGAGACAAGCATTCAAGTTCATGAGTTGCAAGTGTAAAACACTACATGTGATCACAGGTTAAAAACTGAAAAATTATGATAAAGCAAGAAAATAGAGTAGAAATAATTTTTGAAAAAATTTGTTAACTAATCAAGCTTTTAAAATTTGGGTTACATTTGTTTGCTCATAACAATCATCAGATATTGTCATTAGTAAGGCGACCCAAAAACAGATAAAGCAATACCTGAATCTGACCATGGATTGTTTACCAGAATCATGAAATGAGTGTGAAGTGTGCCATTTCCAGTTGCTAAACAAGTGAAATTAAGCAATGAAGCAGAATTATGAAACTTTAAGATTTTCCTGCAGCCCAGTCAAATTCTCACGTCTTGTCTTTCCCATTCCTTATTGCTACTATAGCAACTTTTTGGCAAAATAGCAAGTTGTTTAGGGACTGGCAAGTTTAATGGCTTAGTTGCTTGTGCATCCAAATAAGCCAAAAATACGGTCATTTTTGTATATCCATATGAATATAAAATATACAAATCTTGTTTACCAAGTATCAGTTATTTATACTTTTCAAATTTATTTTTTCTGTTAAGTTTACATTATTTTTGTTTCTTCTGTCAGTATCATTTTTAAATATTTAAAGCATCTTCATAAGGTATGAAGATTTAAATTAATCACTTCCTTTCAGAAAAATTGCAGTTTTTTTGTATTTAATGCTATATAGAAATTTACTGTTTTTTTAAATAAAATATTTATTTATTGTAAAAATATTATTATTTTTTTTTTTTTCGACGGGGAAAAACGAAAGTACTTTCCGAACAACCCAATATATTGTTGACGACTATTATAAATTCTTTTAACCTGTGATCAAATGCTTTTTTTCAACATGGCTGCATTTGTAAGATTACAATTTTTGATGATTTTAAATATATAATTAGACTGCATGTAATTCCTATTCCTCAACTGATGAGAAATTCCATGATGTCTTTTCTGCACTTGCCAAATTTCAATATTTGTTTAGTTTGAAATTTTTTATAAATAAAACTGTCTTTGACTATTTTCTCAAAGGAGCTTCCCAAACTTTGCAATAGCATAGGTTAAAATGTGTATAATGATATGGCTGATATGTTTCTGAAAGATGAGAGAATATATTTTTCAAACATGAAAGCTGTAAAAACACTTAGCCTGGTATGCTATGACCTTCAGTAATTTATCTTGGAGACAAGCATTCAAGTTCATGAGTTGTAAGTGTAAAACACTACATGTGATCACAGGTTAAAAACTGAAAAATTATGATAAAGCAAGAAAATAGAGTAGAAATAATTTTTGAAAAAATTTGTTAACTAATCAAGCTTTTAAAATTTGGGTTACATTTGTTTGCTCATAACAATCATCAGATATTGTCATTAGTAAGGCGACCCAAAAACAGATAAAGCAATACCTGAATCTGACCATGGATTGTTTACCAGAATCATGAAATGAGTGTGAAGTGTGCCATTTCCAGTTGCTAAACAAGTGAAATTAAGCAATGAAGCAGAATTATGAAACTTTAAGATTTTCCTGCAGCCCAGTCAAATTCTCACGTCTTGTCTTTCCCATTCCTTATTGCTACTATAGCAACTTTTTGGCAAAATAGCAAGTTGTTTAGGGACTGGCAAGTTTAATGGCTTAGTGGCTTGTGCATCCAAATAAGCCAAAAATACGGTCATTTTTGTATATCCATATGAATATACAATATACAAATCTTGTTTACCAAGTATCAGTTATTTATACTTTTCAAATTTATTTTTTCTGTTAAGTTTACATTATTTTTGTTTCTTCTGTCAGTATCATTTTTAAATATTTAAAGCATCTTCATAAGGTATGAAGATTTAAATTAATCACTTCCTTTCAGAAAAATTGCAGTGTTTTTATTGTGTTTAATGTTAAATAGAAATTTACTGTTTTTGTAAACTAAAACATTTTAATCTTTAATTTTTTACTTTTAGTTTTAACAGATATTTTACTTTTCTGGCTGTTTTTTACATAATGAGGGAAAGTATTGGATTCATGTTAAATTTGATTTGTTTTTTTTTTGTAAATGTCCATGTTTTGAGACTTTGTGAATCCAAAAATGTCAAAAGGCAAAAAATTCCTTGAATGTGCATTGTTGTCTGTTTCACTTTATCTCAGGATGGTGAAGATTATAGAATGAAATTTGGCATAGTAGCTTGTGTGTAAGGGGTACTGATGCTATTAAATTTTGCTTATGAAAGGTTGAGGGAATGAAGTGATAGAGGATGTATGATATCTTGCGTGAGGTTGGACTTAATGAAGATTTTGCTTGTTAGTTGATTTAGTTTTTTGTTATAAAACTCATCTCTACCCTCAAAATTAAGCTTTGTCATTTTATAGTAATTAGAAATGTTTTTTATAAAAATCTCATCACAGATTGCACCCCACAATTTTTATAATTTTAATTACAATTTAACTTAATAAAAGTTATTTTCTAAATGAAATCTCATAGCTGGGAAAGTTTTATGCAACTTGCTGCTGCATGTTTTTTATTTAAAAATTCTGGTGCCCAAAAAAGTTATTTGCTCAATTAAGTTGCAAAAACTTGAGTATATAACTTTTTTTTTGGCACTGGAATTTTTAAAGATGATGACTAAGTGTAGTGACCTTTCATTCCAAATGGTTTTTAATATATTTACCAGATCCTGGAGAGATGGAAACTGTTAATTATACATGTTATATTGCTGTAGAGACTGAATAAACAGTTTATAATTAAATGTATTTCATGGTATCTTAAGATAATTCCCAAGACACCAGTTACAGCAGTTCTTTGTGGATTTCTTGATGGTCATTTGTAGTGGAAGATGAAAATTTGTGCTACAAGTACTGCAATACTATGGTCAGTTAAGAGAGGAAATACACTGAGTACACATTGCAAGTGCAAAACATTGCTTGCTTCTGCTACTCTTGCTCTTATAGAAGCAGTAAACAAGATACAGTAGACCTCCCTATAACGCTTAGATACGTTCCACGCTAACCGAAAATTACGTTGTAGGAACGATTAAATACATGAGCCAATTGCAGCCCGATAGGTGGGAACTTTACGGACTAAGGCTGTTTGAAAGGTTTTCTTCTATAAAATTAACCGATTCTAGACTAATTCCACTCAACATTTCCAAAATACGTATAATTTTTTGGGAATAATCTGTATAAACTATGCTATAAACAAAAAATTATAGGATTACTTACCGAGTGTGTACCGTTCGACTACGCCGTTGCTTAAAGCTGGTTTTCATCGCGGAACAGCACATTAAACGACGGCCGCGATTTCTAATAACGAATTTTTCGCATAAAAATAACTTGACCTTTGGAGACATCATTAATATAAATAATTTTTATGGACGTTGAATAAGAAGTTTCTTTCACAAGAAATGTATAAAATTAGTGCTGTATTAGACTTACGGTACCTAATTTACATACTGTACAGACGATAATAAACTCAACTTACTAGCCTAAAATCTCCGTAGAATGTTGCCAGGTGGCAGAAAGCATATATATAATTATAATAAAGTTACAATAAATTAAGTTAATATATAATTATATATACAGTACCTAATTTATATATAATTTATATATAATACTAAACAGACGATAGCAAACTCAATTTAGCTGCTCTGTAGCGTGGCGCAGGGTCGGAGGTAAGTAGTTCGGCTGCTCATCCACTATTGGTCCAGACTCTATCAATCTTCTCGCGAAACGATGTTATAGGAGGTACGTTATACAAAAGTTTCTACAATTTTTTCGCTACGTTATAGGAATTGTTGTTATAGGAACGTACGTTATGGGGGGGTCGACTGTACTTTATAAGTGATAAACCCTCATTATGACAAGACATGGTTTTCATACTCCATTTTGCAGGAATACTCTTTTCTGTCCTGAAGAGTTTTAAAAGTGGATGAAGTCTGATTTAAATCAATCTGAGTGAAAACTTGTTTAGTGAAAGCACCTTGCACAGGTTTATTGGTAACAAATATTCAGATGCTGCTGAACAAATGTGTTGAGGTGCTAACATTCTGCTGATACTGGATGAGTCAGTTGGGTGTGAAAAACAGGAAAGTTTTAAATACCTTGGTTGTATGCCTTGGAACCTATAAATTGCCCCATCTAGTGCAATTGTAGAGAAGTGCAAGAGTGATATCATTGTCAAAGAAGTGTTTGCATTTCTTAACCTTCTGAGTATTGAGTTAAACCATTTTATTGGACTGTTGGCTGACAATACTCTATGAATGCTGCTGCTTTGAAACTTGTGCCAGTGTGCATGAGATTGTTCTACATGACATGCTGGACACACTTATGTGACTAAATGTATTATACATTTAGTCACAGAAGTGTGCACTAAGAACAGCGTCCTGAACCATTTCATGTTGGGATGAAGGCAGCTCTAGTGAAGGTGGCAAACAGAAGGCATTTGCTGCAGATAGATCTGACAAGAATCATTCATTGACACTGCCACCTGTATCAGTTATTACTTGATGAGGACATGGCTAGAAGCACGTGAGAGGTGGGATACTTGATGTGGATTAGAGAGAATCAGACAATGAAAATAGCTGCATTTGAAAAAACTCAGCAAGCTACTTGATCAGTCCCAACTCTAAGAACATGCAGTTGCAATCTAAGCTGAAGCTTTATGCAACTTGATCAAGAAACTGGAGTCAGTCTACATCTAAATCCAGTACTGTAAGAAGTGATATTTGGCAAATTTTTGGAGGCATTTGGGAACTGTTGGCCTCACTTGCTATGGGTTTGATAAACAGCATATCTTTAGTATGGCAGTTCTGGAAAGAATTTGAAGTCCTAGATTCAAATCATAACCAAGCAATGGACAGCACACCTCAATTTTAACAGATATTTTACTTTTCTGGCTGTTTTTTACATAATGAGGGAAAGTATTGGATTCATGTTAAATTTGATTTGTTTTTTTTTTGTAAATGNATAAACAGCATATCTTTAGTATGGCAGTTCTGGAAAGAATTTGAAGTCCTAGATTCAAATCATAACCAAGCAATGGACAGCACACCTCAATTATGCAGATTCTGAGAAAAAGGCACCGAAGGAAGAGATTGCTGATCAAAACATTGTAGTATGCTATGAAAACAGATCAGTGTGCAAAAAAATTTGTGGTAGCTCTCTATCAAAGAAATGCTATTTTTGAGTCTTTTGGCATTAAAAGCTCTGCTAGTTCCTGCTAGTTGTGCAGATGTGGAGAGGTTTTTTCTACCCTGAACTGTCTTCAAGCCAGAGATTGTCATTTACCAAGGAAAATTTTCAACATTTATATTTCTCTTGTTCAACTCTATGCAGTAACACATAAGTATAAGTAATGTTGAAAATAAGGTAAACAAATAAAAAACAATGTGTACTGAATGCAAGAAATTTCTATATTGTAACTTAAAAAATTAAGTAGAATAAAGTAATTTTGTATAATGCATATTTCAGATTTCTATTTTAAAGTTTTTTGAAAATAAAGTGCATTGTATGTTCTGTTCTAACACTGCTTTACTTTGTTAGAATGCATTCTAAACAATGCCATTAATTTTTTTCTTTTTTAATTCAACAGAATGTTTTCCATCTTGATTACGTTTCATTAGACTATCCCATTTTGAAAATAATGACCGAAAACAAGAAAATACATGAATGTGAGCATGAATGTGTGGACAGCAGGAATATATGGAGGCAAATATTTGTCATTTGATTCATTACAATTTAATGACAGGGAGTAGAGAACTTTGAATACTATTTGTCATCAGTAAACCATCCACAATATTCTATATTGGCCAGATGTTTGTTCAGCATTCAGTGAATACCAAATGTGCAGAGCTGCCTTTTTATATGTTGCTCATGGGTAGTGTGTTGAACAAGAAAAATCAAAACTTTAAAATACTTTCAGATGTTGACTTTTTTAAAAATGTTCAAATTTTTGATAAATTACAAGGATTTTTTTAAAATTTTATATTTACCAATTTGTTGGTAATTCCACTTTCTAATCAATTTTCCACATTGATACTTTGAATTTTCATGATCAACATTTGGATTTAATTTCTGGATATCTTTAACAGTATTTTTCATTTTATTCCAGGCAGTCAACATTAAGATTTTCAGGCCATTTGTTTCAATTCTTACATGACTTGATTGAAGTGTCATTGTTTTCAGTTTAAATTTTGTGATAGCATCTTGTTGACTTGCTTAAAATTTCAGGCGTGTTCGGTATAAGTTGTATTAACATATTAATGTTTCTAGAAAATTGTAATGTAAAATTTGAAACTAGAGATGTAATAAATTGTCATTATTATTAATCCAAGGATAAGACTTGTATTTTAAATGTTACAATGGATAATCAATATCAAATTAGTTTCAATATTTTTGTTGTTTCTGGATATTACATTTACATTTAAGAATGTCATTCTACATTGATACTTTAAATAATTTATAGTCAATGTAAAATTTTAAATTTTGTGTGTTAAACTTAGCTTATATTCACAATGGTGGTAATTATTGGATTGAATTTTTTTGTAGTGTATGTACATTTGTTCTTTGAGTAAATATCTAATTGTGAATTAATCATTTTTAAAGCATTTTATAACTATTTTTCACAAATTTAATTCTGTAACATGAAACTGTTCTGATACAATGATTATCTAATTATTAATCTATTTTATATTTTAAGTTGAAAACAAAAAAAAACAATTATATTTTAACTAGTAGTCATGTAATTTTATTATTAAAAAAATTCTATTAAAACTTTATTTACTACTTTCATTAGGTCAACCCATCACGTTTACCAGTTGTTGTTGGTGGATTACTTGATGTTGATTGTTCAGAAGATGTAATTAAGTCCCTTATTATGGTAGTGAGAGGACAATTTTCAACAGATGAACTTGTAGAAGAAGTTGAGAAAAGAAATAGGTTGAAACTTCTGTTATCTTGGCTTGAAATGAGAGTTCATGAAGGTTGTAATGAGGCGGCTACTCATAATGCCCTAGCAAAGATTTACATTGACTCAAATAATAATCCAGAACGTTTTCTAAAGTGAGTTACTTACATTTATTTCAAAACAGAACTTTAATATTTTAAATAGCATATTTAATTTTTGAATAATTTATCCTGTTGATTAAATTTAATGTATATAAGTGTAGTTCGTGAAAAAGTTTGTTTTATTTTCAATATGAAAAATGTTTTTAATGTTTTGAGATAACATTTGTAATAAAACATAAACATCTTACGAAACCCGATACATTACGATAAAGCCACGTCAATTACTGTATAACATTGGGCTATATAACTGCAATAATAATTATAAATTACTGATTAATTTGACCCTAGAGGGAGGCATTATGTACCATCTTGTATTAAATTTAAAATTATTTAATTATTATTAGATTAAACTGGAAGAAATTAATTGGTGATGCCATCTGTATGGCAGGTGGGAGTTGCGGATTTGAGTCTTGCTCTGGCAGATTCTTTTCTTGAAGTTTAATCTAAATTTAATAATTATAATTAAATTTAATAAGAGATGGTGCCTAACACCTTCCTCTAGGATCAAATTAATCAGTAATTCATAATTATTGCTGATACATAGCACCATATTATACAGCAGTTGACGTGGCTTTATAACATTCATCTGTTAATTTATTTTGGTAACCTGCAATTTTAAAGTAAATTTTTTAAAATTACTAGAATTTAATTGTCATTCCATGTTTAATTTTTAAATAAATATATATTAGATATAATTAACATTAAAATTTAGTTCAACAGAATTCTAAAACTGACAATGTTAAAATTTAGTATCAAATTTTAGATTCAGTTAAAAATGAAATAAACATTACATGTAATGTAATGAAAATGAATGAAATTAAAATTAACTGATGTGTAGCATTCCAGTTTACAAAGATCTAATTTCATGGTTGACACTTTTGAATATTGATTACTATACATGGCACTTATGTAAATTTAAGATTTTTATCCTGTATAATCTTACTAGTAGCCTATTCCAATTATTTTGAAGTAAATTTTTTAAGAATATTCAAGTACGAAACTGCTAAATTTGGGAAATCAGTTTGTTTTTTGGCTGTTCTAGTGGCTATTTTCATCTGACAATGAATACAAATGAATAATATAGGACCCAATAATTAAAACTTAAATTTATCACTAACATCTTACCAAAAATTTAAATTCAGGAAAGTATGTTAAATTATATTTGCTTATGCACTTTATGAATATTGTTAAAATTTGTGTGACATTTTTAAAAATTTTCTTGTATAATTTTAAAGGGAGAATCAGTTCTATGACAGCAGAGTTGTTGGAAAGTATTGTGAGAAAAGGGATCCCCATCTTGCATGTATTGCATATGAGCGAGGCCAGTGTGATAGAGAACTGATTAAAGTATGCAATGAGAATTCTCTCTTTAAAAGTGAAGCTCGTTATTTAGTAAGGAGGAGAGATCCAGAAATGTGGGCAGAAGTGCTAAATGAAAACAATCCTTATCGTCGCCAGTTAATTGATCAGGTTGTCCAAACAGCACTCTCTGAAACTCAAGATCCAGAAGATATTTCTGTAACTGTGAAAGCATTTATGACTGCAGATTTGCCAAATGAATTGATAGAACTATTAGAAAAGATTGTTTTAGAAAATTCTGTTTTCAGTGACCACAGGTAAGAAATAGTTTTAAATATGAAATTACCATATATAAACTTTTGCTAATGTGAATTAGCTTTACATTAAAATAAGACTAATATTTATAAATATAAACACATTCATGTAGGAGTGCCCTACTTATGAAATTTCAGACTTGCGAAGAGTTTGACCATATGTCTAACACTTAAATTTTGCCTATTCTTGCTGGTTGTGGAGTGGTATTAAACTCAGTCTTTTAACCAGTAATAATGTGGATTTATTTCTCTCATGCAGCCATTTTTTGTTTTCATGCGAATTATGACTTCCATTGCCACTTGTGAGGTTGTGAAGTTGGAGTAATAGCATTTTTTGCTGTTTGCAATTTTTATAAAATTTTGATTTAATGCTTCAGAAATTCATTTAAAACATAATAATAATCTAGTAGTGGAGATAAATGCATTGTTCTATTACCATGGAAACTAAACCTATCCTTATAAAAGTAAGCACATTAGGTGAAACAAAATCTGTGTTTGAAACACCCTCTACCAAGCAGTAGTAAGTGGATAAATGAACTTAATGTGTTCTAAGTACATTTGAAGGATCAAACACTAACACAACATTCTGTGTAGAAATGTACTTTCTAGATTAGTTTTTGACTTAAACATTTAGATTTACGACAGCACCTTGGGAACCTAACCTGATTGTAAGTAGAGGAGTGCTTGTATTTTTTTAGACTAAACCATTATTACCGTAGCTTCTTAAAAGTGAGAAACATTTAGTTATCACATAAAAAACTTTTGTGATCCTCTGTTAANAATTTTCGCCAGTGCTGTGGCGCTGCAATCTTCGGCTATTTCTCGGGCTACTCAAATATTTTACGTTTTTGATACTAAATTAACATCTGAAGTATAATTTTTTATTTTTTTTATATTTTTCAATAAATTTATTTTGTTTGTACAAAATAAAAAAATAATTTAACGATACAGTAGTCTTCGTTAGGCTTAACATCGACGAAAATTCAACGCGAAGCGACACACAATGGAGAGAAATTTCAACATGGGATAAATTAATATATTTTTTCGTACATGATTCGTTATCCGAAAAATAAGTTTTCCGAACCACCCCAGTCCTCAATTGATTCGGATAAACAACACTCTACTGCATTGAGATTTATAATTTATAAATTGTCTTAATGGCAATTTAAACTATTGCTTCTACAAATACACATTGTAACAATCAACAAAAATACGTAATATTTTAGTAAGTTTTTACTGATGAATTAGTAAATTATTTTGAATTATTTTTATAAACTTACAAATTTATTATGATGACTGAACTTTACTGTTACTACTTGCAATAGTATGTCAATTTCAATACAAGAAATTAATGTAATTAGCTAAAATGTTGAATTAAAAAAAATATGCTAGAATTAAGTTTTTACCAATAAGATTACCATAAGTGACATTAGCATATTGATAAAATATGTTCCGTACACACATCATAAAGAAGTTAATTCATTAAATTATGTTTAAATTAGTGTCTTTGCTGCTGAATCTGTAACTAGTTAGCAAATACTGAGATTCAGTAAGGTGTGTCAAGAATTATTGTGAATAGCTTCTAAGATCTTATTGAGACCATTTCACTAGAACTTATTGAAGAATAAATTCTTGTAGAGAAATAATGAGATGTTTGACTTCTAAAATTTAAACATTACAAAGAAAAATGTGCTGATTTTTGCAAAATAAGTTACTTTGCTGCTGCTGATTATATTAATATTTATTATATAATTATAGGTTCTTATTGAACATATTCAAAATCTTGATCGAGCATATGAATTTGCTGAACGTTGCAATGAACCTGCAGTCTGGAGTTTATTAGCCCAAGCTCAATTGGTTCAAGGAATGGTGAAAGAAGCAATTGATTCATACATTAAAGCTGGTGATCCTTCTTCATACATAGATGTTGTTCAGACAGCACATAGAACTGGTTAGTACTATGATTTTTATACATGTGTGTGTGCTTGTGTGTATCTGGAAAACACTTAAAATTAGAAGATCTTGATAATACATATCATTTAACAAAATCCACAATGATGGATTTGCTTGTACATATCTTACACGATTTTTTATAAATTAAAATTATTAATTGGAGTAGTGGAGTAAATATTATCATGTGTTGTTCAAATTTGGTAAGAAATTGAAGTTTATAGAGGGAAAACAATATTAATAACTTACCAATAATTATTTAGATAACTTACATATTGTATTAATTGAATAACATTACGCTATATAAATTTTTTTAAAACAATTTTCACATTTTTCTACATTGATTACAGAATGTGCTACTGATTGACTGAAGATAAATATTTAAGATCAATATCACTTCATAAAATATTAAATTTTTTTTACATATTCAACATTTTTTTTTAAACTCTGAATTACAATGTAAATTTAATGATACTTGACCTTGCTTACCTAGCTGCTGCTATTAAAAATTTTCAAATTAAATTTGATTACCTTTATCAATACTCTTATGGCATCTCAAATTTTATTAAATAATCATATAATACTTAGTTTGTTTTAATAAAAGTGAAACAAAGTAAAATTCAAAATATTATGAATTATGAAAGTGGAATGAAGTTTCATCCCCATGTTGTTCTGCAAGAGATGGCAACATTAATAAAAAAATAAAATTTCAATATTTACTAAATACTATGCATAGTTATTTTTTAACATACTCTTTCTCAACCTTGATACATTTCTGCCATTATGTCAGTTGGTAAAGTCTGTCATTGAAAAACTCAGGAATTTGCAGTTGAATTCATTGTCATACAGCTGACTTTACTTCATTGTCACATTAAAACGTTTGCCCTTCAAGTGTCTTTAAGCTATGGAAAGAGTTTGAAGCCTCTTGGAGTAAGATCAGGACTATGGTTGAGGATCAAATAAAACCCAGTCTGATCAGTGACAGTGTCAAGCAGCAGTTGTCTCCCTGCAGGTGTGCAGCCTGGTATTTTGCTGAATCAATGTTTGTTGGCATTTTCTCCTCCTCTTGATGCAACTTTTGACTTCATTTATCATTTGAATATAACACTGAATTGACTGTTGTTGTTTTATCCAAAAAAAATCTGGCAACATAACACTGAATATTTCAATGTAGTCAATGTGACCTTTCTTCCAAAACTGTTTGTGAATTTGGATAAATGATACAAAAATGAATCTCAGCATTATTTTCTACATATAGCTGAGGGCCTTGGATGTCATGGACATGTAGTCCTCCAGATTACACAGCAAATTACTTTTTATTGTTGTCTTCTAAATCAGTTGGTCTGGAAGCAAAGATCAAATAGGGGATCTAGGTAGTGTAATTGGCAATGTATCTGCATGGTAAGGAGTTGTGGGTTCAAGTCCTACTCTGGATCCATCTTTCAGAATATTCTAAAATTCTAATTATTAAACAATTAAGTTAATCTTATGCAATTTGGATTAAAGTTAAATTTAAATATCTGTGTATTTAAGTAACCAGTTTATAGCCTAATGATTGATCTGGTTTTATCATTTAGTTATAATTTAGGAAACTTGTTATTTAAAAAGCAAAAGTAAACTACTTTGAGATTTTATCAAATGTTTTTAGTTTAAGGTTGGAAGAAGAAAATTTTGCCATCAAATTTGCTTTGTTGTTAGATTTAATAATGTAAAATCTTGAACTTGCAGAAAGCTGGGAGGACTTGGTTCGATATTTACAAATGGCACGAAAGAAAGCTAGAGAATCATATGTTGAATCTGAACTTATTTATGCTTACGCAAAAACTAATAGACTGGCTGACTTGGAAGAATTTATTTCTGGACCTAATCATGCAGACATTCAAAAGGTATTTTTGTTTAAACTAAAATGATTCTATAATTAAGATAATTATTATCATTTAACTTCAGATTGGTGATCGCTGTTTTGAAGATGGATTATATGAGGCTGCAAAATTACTTTATAATAATGTATCCAATTTTGCTAGATTGGCAATTACTTTGGTTCATTTGAAAGAGTTTCAGGGAGCTGTGGATAGTGCAAGAAAAGCAAATTCTACCCGAACGTGGAAAGAAGTAAGATTTTTGTACTTTTTTATTTTAAAAATTTGTACATTATTCAAAACTTAAATTATATTTATAATAATATTAAGTTAAATATAAAATAGATATCTAATACTAAGGTATTTAAATTGCTTTTGCTAATTGTGAAATTTGAAAGTGCACACTGTTTATAAAAGAAAGCCTTAAATTTTGATGTATTGAAACACTAATTTTTAAATGTTTTGTAGTGAAGTATATGAATTTAAATGAAGATATCTAGGGCAGTGATTCTCAACCTTTTTTTCATATTGGTACAATTTTAATAATTTAAAAATTGGCGGCACACAGTTACTTTGGTAAGTACCGTAGGACAACTGGTGACATCACGAGTGATTTTTAAATGCAGTTGGTTATTTAGATTACATTTTCTAAATATCTTAGTAACTACCGGCAGTTTCAGGTAACACTGGTTACAATTTCCAAACACACCCTAGGAAGGTAGAACCGATTAAACTACTTGTCTCATGTTGCTTATGTATGGGACATTTGCAGTGACAGCACACTTCATAAATCTCGTGGCACAGTGGTTGAGAATCACTGATCTAGGGAGTTATTTGAACATTCATGAAATTAAGGTTTCATTTTTCTTTTGTTCATTATGTAAATTTGGAACTAATGATCTAGTAAATATATACTCAAATTTAATTTTAAAGAATTGCTTTTGTATCAAAACTTTACATACTAAAGAAGTACATATTTTACATCCAAATTTATAATTTTCTTGAATTGTTTAAGCTATCCTGTTAATATTTTTATTCTTAAAATTCATTGTTTTTAAATTATGAATTGTTTGTAAATCTTACTTATAGGTTTGTTTTGCCTGTGTCGATAATGAAGAATTCAGATTAGCCCAAATGTGTGGTCTTCATATTGTTGTTCATGCTGATGAATTAGAAGATTTGATTAATTATTATCAAGATAAAGGTTACTTTGAAGAATTAATTAGCCTTCTTGAAGCTGCATTGGGTCTTGAAAGAGCACACATGGGAATGTTTACAGAATTAGCTATCTTGTATTCCAAATACAAACCATCTAAAATGAAAGAACACTTAGAACTTTTCTGGTCACGAGTGAATATCCCAAAGGTGAGAATCTCAAAAATTTTAAAATACTGTTTCCTATTAGATTGTTTTACAACTTATGTAATGTATTTAAAAATTTTCCAGTTTTTTTTATTTTTACTTAGTATTTTCTAGATTGAAAGTTTACTTTTTCAAAAGTAATTTCTTGAATTTTTTTAAAATTCACTCTAATTACTTTCACTCAACTTTCATTAAAATGATAAACCAAATGATTTACAGGTATTGCGTGCAGCAGAACAAGCTCATTTATGGGCTGAATTGGTATTTTTATATGACAAATATGAGGAATTTGATAATGCTGTAGTAACAATGATCAATCATCCAACCGAAGCATGGCGAGAAGGACACTTTAAAGAAATGATAACAAAAGTTGCAAATATTGAATTATATTATAAGGCAATACAATTTTATTTAGATTATAAACCTATGCTACTGAATGACTTACTTCTGGTGCTGGCACCTCGCATGGATCACACAAGATCAGTTAATTTCTTCACTAAGGTAAATTTTTAATCATTTGAAAAGATTTTTAAAACTAAATTTTTCTTTTTAAGCATTATTTGTAGTTTGTATTTTAACATAACATTTTTATAAAATTCATTACAATTAAACTCATAGAATGCTATGAAATGTAAAAATGAATTGCAATTATAGGATTTTTGAAATTCTTAACAGTATACAATAGGTTGTGTTTTTATGAAGGATTAAATTACTGGAGAATTGGCACACATGAAAGACATGCTTAAGAAATTTCAAGTATACAAAAATTTACTTTTCCTAATTTTACAGATGCATGCATGCAGGCACATGTATATACTATACACGTGCATAATTTGTGTAACTTTTTTATTACAGAAAGAGTAAAACCCACATATATTGATTCATTGTAATAATTCTCTTTTTGCAATTTATAATTATTAGCACTTTTCATTGAGTGGAAGTCTTATTTTAAATGCCTTTAAGCAATAAGATAAAACTGTCCACTTCCTATTCTGACAACTTCCATCTTTTCTAATGTTTAATTTAACTCTTGCCTTGTTGCGAATGTATCCAGCAGATACATGGCATTTTTTATTGACTTTCTCAAAAATAAATAACAGTTGAACTGCAGGCTTTTGTAGTATTCCTCAACTGATATGTTTTGAAGTGATTCCAGCAGTGGTTTTTAAGTTTGATCCTATTTTTAGAGAAATTTTACAAAAACCGTACTTACTACCATCTGCAATAAATTCTCTTGCAGCATGAGAGCACTGTACTCTAGTGATTGAGATTCAATAAAAAAAAAATGTAGAATTTTTATCACATTACTACACATTTAAACTTTTTCTCCTGGTTTCAGTGACAGGACCAATCCCAATTCATTTCAAATAAGCCATTATAGCTTTTTGACAATGTGATTTTCTTGCTTTGGTGTTATCGCCCTGATGTCTTACTATCAGAGCATGATAAGAAATTTAATACTTTCAATTTCGCAACAATTAAAATTTATTATATAGCAATACCATTTAGTAATTGTGATTCAAACATTTATTTGGTAATTTTATTGAT